ATGGCCCCACCTGCCAGTCTCAGTCCACTGCCTGGAAAGCCTCTGTTGGAGTCAGGGCACCACACCCTGTCTACTGGTCTCAGTCCTCACCTGCTAAGCCTCTGCTCACCAGCCCTGCTAGAGACAGGGGACCACACTCATGCCCTCAGGACTTGGTTCACACCCAGCAAGCCTCTGCTCGAGGGTTCTGTTGGAGTCAGGGGAACATGCCCTTGCCCTCGGGTCTCAGTCCATGCCTGGTAAGCCTCTGCTTGCAGGCCCAACAGGAGATGTGGACCAGCCCTTCCCACCAAACTCAGTCCACACAGGGTAACCACTCTCCTGCTGTGGGCACTGTCAGAGCTGGGGGTTCTACACCCTGTCCCACCTGACAGCCCGAACAGAGGGTCAACACCACCACAGGCCAGGCATAGTCATAACTAGGGGACTGCTCCTCCTCCCACCAAGGGTCCCTTTCTTCCCTCACCCTCTTTCTTCCCTATTAGTCATATATTCCGTCCGGATGGTTGGTGGTCCACACTATGCCCAGATCTCTCAGGAAAAGACCAAACACTTTGTTCTCTGTAGGGGGCTGAACTTCAGATCACCATGCAAGGTGGGAGGGGTGGACTGGGAGTTTGAATTTGTGGGGGAAAGTATCTATTCAATTCTATGCCTGACAGGGTGGTGTCTAGGAATGTAAGTAGGACCTCATTGGAGAAAGAGACCTGGTGTTTATCAGATCTCTCCAGCAAGGTAGAATGAGAGGTCTTGTTCCCTCCTCCTTCACAGATAGCTTACAGTGGGGCTCCAGCTTGGTGGAGGGGTCTCCTATTCTCTAGTCAATAGGCTCTGTACCTGCAATTGGTTTTCTTGAATGCTCTTCCTTGGAGTTACAGCTTGCCTAACTTCTTTCTTTGCTTAGCTCCCCACCTTTGGCTTCATAAATTCCAATTCCATCCAGTTTTTCTCTCTCTGGTCAGGAGCCTATGCTGAGGATTGCTACCAGTTGGCCATCTTCCCAGAATCTTTTTTTTTTTTGAGACAGAGTCTCACTATGTTGCCCTTGGTAGAATGCCATGGCATCACAGCTCACAGCAACCTTAAGCAATTCTCTCTTTTTTTTTTCCCCAAGAGATAGCGTCTCACTTTATCACCCTCTAGAGTCCTGTGGCATCACAGCTCACAGCAACCTCCAACTCCTGGGCTTAGGTAATTCTCTTGCCTTACCCTTCCAAGTAGCTGGGACTACAGGTGCCCACTACAACCCAGCTATTTTGTTGTTGTTGTTGTTGCAATTTGGCCAGGGCCGGGTTCAAACCCACCACCCTCGGTATATGGGGCCGGCGCCTTACCCACTGAGCCACAGGCGCTGCCCAACTTAAGTGATTCTCTTGCCTTAGTCTCCCTAGTAGCTGGGACTACATGCACCTGCCACAATGCCCGGCTAATTTTGTTGCAGTTGTCGTTGTTTAGTAGGCCCTGGTTGGGTTTGAACCCACCATCCCTGGTGTATGTGGCTGGTACCCTAACCACCTATCTATAGGCACCAAGCCATGGTTAAATATTTTAAATACCATAAATTTAGGGACACCAGGCCAGGTGCAGTGGCTCACACCTGTAATCCTAGACTCTCCTAGGCCAAGGCAGGAGAATCAACTGAGGTCAGAATTTGAGACTAACCTGCACAAGAGCAAGACCTTGTCTCTACTAAAAATAGAAAAATTAGTCAGGCATTGTGGTCAGTATCTGTAGTTCCAGCTATTCAGGAGGCTGAGGCAGGAGGATCACCTGGACCTGAAAGTTTGAGGTTACTATGAGCTAGCTGGCATCACAGCACTTTAACCTAGGTGACAGAGTAAGATTCTGTCTTAAAATAAAAACGAAACCAGAAACAAACAAAAAATAACCCTCATGAACACCAAAAACATTAAAGGTAAAAATATAAAAGAGGAATCTAGCCTATTCACATAATAAAAATACAAAAATATACAACAGTAATTTCATCTATTAATTATTCAACCTAGGAAGATAATTCAAAATGTTTAACAACCAGAATAACATTACATAATAATTGATACAAAATTTAAATATATTTTTATGTATACACAGTGGCTCACACCTATAATCTCAAACACTTTAGGAGGCCAAGCTGGGAGGATTACTTGAGGCCAGGAGTTGAAGACCAGACTGGTCAATGTATCAAGACCCTCATTTCTACAAATAACAAAACAACTTACCAGGTGTGGTGGCTTGCACCTACAGTCCTTGCTACTTAGTAGGCTGAGGTGGGAGGATCACCAGCCTGGGTGACTGAACAGAACCCTATCTTAAGTTGTGCCAAATCACTCAAGTCATTTTTATAATTTCCAAAAAGAAACACATGTACATGAATTTTTATAGTTTATAGGTTTATTGTAAATAGGAGAAGATAGAGAAAAATAGAAAAGCAATTTCTCCTACTAAAGACTACTACTCAGTATTTTGGAGTTTTAGTTTTTTCTGTTATGTTTTTTCAGAATTGAACTGATACCATACACAAATTTTTACCCAGTTCTTTTTTTTTTTTTTTTCCTCTTTTTGAGACAGAACCTCAAGCTATCACCCTGGGTAGAGTGCCATAGCATTACAGCTCTAACTCCTGGGCTCAAGCGATTCTCCTGCCTCTGCCTCCCAAGTAGGTGGGATTATAGGCGCCTGCCACAACACCTGGCTATTTTTTGGTTGCAGCCCTCATTGTTGTTTGGCAGGCCAGGGCTGGATTCAAACCCGCCAGCGCAGGTGTAAGTGGCTGGTGCCTTAGCCACTTGAGCCACAGGCGCAGAGCCCCCAGCTCTTTTCAATAATCACAAAACATTCTGGGCAGTGCCTGTGGCTCAAAGGAGTAGGGCGCTGGCTCCATATGCTGGAGGTGGCGGGTTCAAACCTAGCCCCAGCCAAAAAAGAAAAAAACTGCAAAAAAAAAAATTCTTTACAGCTGCCCTGTTTTCTCAGCCACAATAATTCAAACTTGGAAACAAAGACCATCCAAATGAGAAACAGCCTACTCAGAGCTTGCTATATTGCAAGGGAGTCAGTCACCATCACTTGTATGTGGCAGATTCTAAAGAAGAGCAATGGGAAGGTTTCTGGTATGTTCTGAATGCAGGCTGCTGGCAGCCAGAGGTGAGCTAACAAGAGGCAGGATGTTTTACGTGAGTGGTTTGGGGAGCACATTTGCCTTTCTAGGGTTGGTTCTCAGGTAGGGAGGCAGGAGGTCCTTGACCAAGTCCTCACCATCTCAGTCAACTGCTGCAGGGCCTGGTAACTGCAAAGGTGTATTGGTCAGAGTTCTATTGTCATCCGTTGGCCACTGTCCATATTGTATTCAATCCCTCAAAACACAATTTTTAAAATTATTTTTTCTGACACGTCTATTGTACAAAAATTGGAAAATTATTAAAACAATTAAAATTACCTATCACCAACCCTAACCACACACACCCTCGCACCCCTTAAAATAGTGCCCAGCATCTCCTAATTGAAATCATGTACATTTTATTTATTTATTTATTTATTTATTTATTTATTTATTTTTGAGACAGAGCTTCAAGCTGTCCCCCTGGGTAGAGTGCCGTGACATTACAGCTCACAGCAACTTCCAACTCCTGGGCTCAAGCGAGTCTCCTGCCTCCTCCTCCCAAGTAGCTGGGACCACAGGCGCCCGTCACAACGCCCGGCTATTTTTTGGTTGCAGCCGTCATTGTCGTTTGGCTGGGGATTCGAACCCACCACCTTAGGTGTACGTGGCTGGCGCCTTAGCTGGTTAAGCTATAGGCGCCGAGCCCCATGAACATTTTATAACCTTGCTTCTCTACAACACACGTGCCAACATTTTCACTTCAAAGTCTAAACTCTGTATAAAAATTAGCCGGGCATTGTGGTGGATGTCTGAGGTTCTAGCTATTCTGTAGAACATTTATTTTTGTTACAATTCAGTGAACGTCAGTGCATAAATAATCGATCTGTCTGGGTGATGCGCTTGTTTTTCTCAGGGGAGTGGAAACTGCCAGATTGCTTTTCATGGTTTTTCAGTTTTCCTGTTCTACCAGCGTCCTCTAAGTGCACATCCTTGTCAGGATCAGATGTTATAATTTTATCTAACAAAATGACTTGTTAGGCATGCGTGAACGCCTTGGCCTAGAAAAAAATAAACACCAGAAAATGGTAGTACTAGGAAAAACTGCTTTTCTACTCATCTGTATTTTTTTCCTCGTTTCTGCAACAAACCTGCAATCCTTTAAGAAATCATGTACATGTTTTTTCTTGTAACGTGGAGTTAGGGTCCTGGAGTTACTGGGGCAGAACCGCAATACTTCCCCTGCCCAGAGCTAGCCTCGCTCGGCCACGTCCCGTAGCAGAGTCCAAGGAGGCTTTCTTCTGCCGCCAGCGGGCTTGCTTTACGTTTCAAACACCTCCGGTCCCCGGCTCCCTCTCTGCGAAGTGTGGGGCTGGCGAGCTGCCCGTTTTCCTCGGAGTTCTACGAGTTCCAGCTCCAGGATTAACTGCCCTCTCCGCCCCCTACTACTCGCAAATCCCCAGAGGGTGGAGGGAGCAGGGCCCTCCCCCCGGGCCCAGGCACTCCAACTAGCCAAGGCTGCGCAGGCTACGCCAGTGCAGCTTCACTCTTCCCGGCGAGCCCAGGAGGAGACGCCGGCTCAGAAAGAATCGGGAACTGACCCAGGGTCCCACACTGAGTCGGCAAGCTGGCTGACCCAAGCCCACCGGGACAGCGAACTACGCAGCAGTAAAAATCTCAGAGCCTTTCCAAGGTCAGAAATCGCCCACGAGATACAGCCAAGAGTGAGCCAGGAACCCAGTCGGGGCGGGGCGGGGCGGACCAAAGAACTGTGGCGCACACGCACGTCAGGCTAGGGAGACTAGGCGAGCGGGAGCATACGTGGGTGGGAGGAGCCAGAGCGGGCCGGAGCGTAGGGCGCAGGCGCGCGTCAGGGAAGCCGGAGAGGACTTAGTTGCGCGGGAGGCGAGGCCGGAGCTCAAGGCAAGAGCCCAGGCCAGGCGGCTACCGTATTGGTGGCGAAGGAGTTCGCTATGGCGACACCTCAGCGAGCTCGGGTCTTGCGGTGCTGTAGCTGCTGCCTCTTCCAGGCGCACCAGGTCGGGCGGGCGCCGGCCACCCCCGCCTCCAGCGCGTAGATGGAGGATGGGTTGTGACTGGGCCGCGGGCGTTTTCTTTTTAGGCAGCAGGATATACCTGGGACCGGAATAAGTGGCAGTGATTGCTATGGGATAGTCCCTTAGTACCCAGTGAGGACAGCGTCTCATGAATGTCTCTCATTCTATAACGTCGTTCGGGGCATTTCGTTTTCATTTTTTGCTTGGTTTTTGTAGGAACCAGAGGTAATGGTTTCTGCAGAGGCGACCGCTCGTGAGTGATACCAGATGTTGGGGAATGCGGGTTGAGGATAGCATCTCTTATGCAGAACCTAGCCCACAGAGTGACTCTCCCTTTAAACACAAAGGGGTGATAGTTTTTAAAACTGAGACTAGAGGGGAAACTGGATGTACCATTGAAGTGTTCCTGGTGGACGGCTGGTGGCCCTCAGTGGCTTTGCCCCAGTCTTTGTTCTCCTGGAGTGACGGACTTGATGGCTGCTGGTCAAAGCATAAACCACTGGACACTAGGAGTTTTCTTTGGTGGGGGGAGGGCTTTTTATTTTTTTTTTAAAGACAACGTGTCCCTCTGTTGCCCAGGCTGGAGTGTAGTAGCGCAATCATAGCTCACTGCAGCCTCAGACTCTGGGCTCCAGCGGTCTTCTTTCCTCAGACTGTCGGGTAGCTGGGACTACAGGTATGACCACCTTGCCTGTCTGTCAGGCAAGGTCGGTGTGATGCCTTGCCTACAGCTCTGTCTTGAATGCTGAAGATGACTCCAGGCAAGTATTTTAAACAGGGTAGTTTCTAAAGTATTTTCTTCCCTGATTTTCAGCACCCAAGACAGAGGATGTCAATTAACCTAATCTTTTCTGGGTCATTCTCTGTCTTCCTGCTTCATGTCACTTAATGCTGTCAGTTTATCTTTTTCTGATAATTCCTCTGCCTAGTTACCTGCTAATCTGCTATGCTTCGAAAAAAGATAGTATAAGACTTCTTTAAAATGTTTGTTAAAGGCTGGGAGTGGCGACTCACGCCTGTAATCCTAGCACTCTGGGAGGCTGAGGTGGGTGGACTGTCTGAGCTCAAGAGTTCCAACTGCTTGAGCAAGAGCAAGACCTCGTCTCTATTAAAAATAGAAAAACTCGGACAGCACCTGTGGCTCAGTGGGTAGGGTGCTGACCCCATACACCAAGTACACCGAGGGTGGCAGGTTCAAACCTGGCCCCAGCCCAACTTCAACAAAAAAAAATAGGTGTTGTGGTGGGTGCTGTAGTCCCAGCTACTTGGAGGTTGAGGCAAAAGAATCCCCTAAGCCCAGGAGTTGAAGGTTGTGAGCTGTGACACCACCGGACTCTACCGAGGGTGATAAAGTGAGACTCTGTCTCTAAAAAAAAAAAAAAAACTAGAAAAACTATAGGGGCATTGTGGCAGGTGCCTGTAGTTCCAGCTACTCAGGATGCTAAGGCAAAAGGGTCATTTGTGCCCAGTAGTTTTGAGGTTGCTGTGAGCTACGATGCCCCAGCACTCTACCCAGGGCAACAGAGTGAGACTGTGTCTCAAAAATAAAAACTAGGCTCGGCGCCTATAGCTCAACCGGCTAAGGCGCCAGCCACGTACACCTAAGGTGGCGGGTTCGAATCCCCAGCCCAGACCCGCCAA